CAAGGGTCTTTTTCAACCTGAATAGTTCTATGATTCTACGAGTTCATGCTGGGCTGGCCACACTGCACTGCACACTGGGGCTCAGGGCCGAAGTTCTGACAAAGCAGGAAAATCAGCCAAATTCCGTGTTTTGCCTCTAAAAAAAGCACTGACATGCTTGAATCTGAGTGCCAGAAAGGCCAAGGCGCACTGCTGGGGATTTCAAGCCTCTCTGAAAATGGAAAAGGGGTAATACAAAATGTTGTTGCTGGCATTAGTCACCAGAAGTGCCCCCGTGTGCTGGGATGCTGGTGAACATCTGACCTGCCCCTGGAAGGCAGGGGCTGTTACCCAGCAGATCCACAGCACATCTACAATGGACACGGTTTGACCATTTAAGATGAAATCCACAGCTGGAAGTGCATAAATCCCCATGAGGTCTGGTTAAACACAGTGCAGGGAGGGAGGAGAATTTAAAGGGGATTATGGAGAGGATTCCTCTGCTAGGCTCTGTCCTCCGAGGTTCGTCAGAGAAGCAAGATTTCCCAATCTTTACAGACTAATGCCAGAAGTGGGAGAGACAGGAGATTTGGAGTGGTTGGGTTGTTCACTTTGAGAAGAAAAGGAGGTGCAGGGAGTAACCCACCTCACCCTGGGCATGGGGGAATGTTCCTGTGGCCAAAAATAGAGGCAGGAGCCCAAGCCAGGCACAGCAGTGGGGGTGGTCCATAGGAATCTCTCCTTCTAGATGAGCTCCCTACCATGCAGCCTGCGCCGGGATGCCGGCAGCACCCAATTCCCAGCAGCAGTGGGGCTTGCATTGCCCTGCAGCACCTGCATCCCACCTCCAGCCTCAGCCTCCCTCCAGGACATGGAAAACTCTCCATGCCAGCCAGCATGTGTTACGGATGGATTGGTAGAGTGGTGCAGGGTTCAAGGGGTGCTTTCCTATATAGAATGGGGTGCTTAGGGGTTACCTAGACCAGGATCCCCCCCACGTGCAAGGCCTGTGGCAGCCTGATGAGCAGTGACCACCCATATGCCTTCCCTCTTCCAAGTTGCTTGGGGGCATGGGGTGTTCCCCTTATTTTGACTGGATAAAAATTAGGGAGCTAGCCCAAGTGAAGGATCTGGGACAGCCAAGCATAGGGGAGAGGGTGTTTGCTGGTGAACGGCAGCACCCACAAGAAGAGGCTGAGCAGCCCTGGTTGGCTGTGGGAGCTGCCCAGGTGACCAGCTGAGATTAGACCCCTAATTTTCAGCGGCCTAAATACAGGTAAAGTGTCTGCCCTTTGCCTCTCCCCTGTCCTTACCCCCCTGCAGCCACTGCACTGCCCTGATAATGGCTGCCTGGTTTTCCAGGCTGGAGGCTCTGCCTCTGCTGTGCCAAACCCAGGGGTTGGGGGGACGATGCTTACAACCCCCCCACTGCACATCATCCCCTCAGAGCCCAGCAGACGGGTGAGCTGCTTCTGACGGTTAAAAACTTGGATGCAACTAAAAGCAGATGGTGCCTTATCTGCGGGCGCCGGGGTCGCCTACGTGCAGGCAGCCAGCGACGGCCGTTTATTCCCAGCTAGGAAAAATGAGAGGTCCTTTGGCCAGGCAAAGTGTTGTACAGAGGCCACCAGAACCTGCGTGCTCCACAGGGGGTGGGAAGCGATGTATTCACTAGGTCTTGAGCTAAAATGAACATCCCAAGGGAGATGGGAGGGTGGTTGTTCCTCTCTGCAATGAGGAGCTCTTTGCTCATAACAAGATCGGATGGTTTGCAGGTGCTGTGAACCTGTCCTGCTCCCCAGAAGGCAGCAGGACACATGGAAGAGTGGCACCAAGGAGGGAGGCACAAAGGGATGCCCCCCATGGCTCTTCCACAGGTGGGAAAGCATCAAGGGGTGAGAGTCTCCTCCTGGGATAGGGGAACACTGCACCCTCACATAGCACACCTGTATGTCAGGGAGGAGGCATCGAATTTTCCTACTTCTATTACTTCTATTTTCATTTCTATTTCTAATTTCTATTATTTCTGTTTCTATAATTTCTATTTCTACATATTCATGTTCCTATTTGTTTGTATTTACATATCCACACTTATTTTTAGAGAGACTCCTGTGTGTCCCTGGCAGGTGGTTTTCATGCCCCAGGGCATCCAGGGCACAGGAGGGTGACAGGAAGGTGCTACCTGTGTGTTTTAATGCCCTGCTGAAGTGCTGGGGTGTTTGGAGGTGCTGGGGTTCACCTCCAAACGCCACAGGGCAGGTCAGTGGACACCCAGTGGCTGCATCTGGGTGTTTTGAAGAAATAAGGGGGGAAACTTTCAAATCCTATGGGTAAGATGATGACAGCAACATTTAATCTCCCAGGAGCAGCTGACAGCTTGCCCAGCTCAGAAAGGATGGCTGGTGGTCACCGTCAAATGTCCCTGCTCCATATCCTCACAAAGACTTGTGTGTGTGTCCCCCAAAAACAAGGGGGGGACACAGCGTGTTATTTGTGGTCCCCACTACCCACACGTCAGGGCTGAGCTGATGTCCGTCCCCAGGGCACCTGATGAGGAGCAAAGAGAGCAGCAGAGGGGGCAGAGGCATCCAGCTGTGTGTGCTGCTGCTGAGCCAGTTTTGGGCCCAGGGCTCTTCCTTTTCCCCTTGGTGTGCCCTGCAGTGTCTCTTCCAGTGTCCCTTCTTGTCCCCTGATCTTTCTCCCTGTGTCCTTCCTTGTCCCTCCCTGATCCCCAGTGTCCCCCCAAGTGTCACTCCACACGTCTTGATGTTGCTCCAAGTGTCCCTGCTGTCTCTCCTTGTCTCCTCAGTGTCCCCAAGTACTTCTCCTTGTCCTCCAGCATCTGCCCCCAGTATCCCCTCCTTGTCCCCACTCAGTATCCCTGTGTCCCTCCTCATCCCCCAGCGACCCCCCCCTACCCCTTGTCTCCACCCGGTGACCTCTCCAGGTGCTCCTCCTGGTCCCTCAGTGATGTCCCCAGCGTCCCTGCTTGTCCCCTAGTGACCTCCCCAGTGTCCCTCCCTCTTCCCACCTACTGCCCCCCC